AAACAGGCTTTTCTTTAAGATGTAAAAATATGTGGACAGTATGTTGCTTTTAGATGTTTCACACATATCTTCGACTTCTGCTTTTTAGGGTGTTATTGACTGAAATATTTTTATTTTTTCAAGATATTTATTTTGATATTTTACTCAGTAGAAGTTTGGCCATATCCTTATTTCCAGAGCGTTTACAGCCTTATGCTTGATGCACAAATAACGTGACCAACTCACTATGACAGTTCTTTGTGACAGCTCCACATGAAGACATTTATCCGTGCGGTTGACAGGCTGACACCCTCTGTCTAAATTCACCAGAGGCATAATGAGACATCTCTATCTGACTGTTTCCCAAGGTAAACTCCAGAATATCAATAGGATTTCTAACGAAGAGGACAAGTACCAACCCGACCTTTGACTTGACCTTTCTTTCACAGAGAGAAGAAATGAGAAACACTGATGGGGAAAAATGCGCTTCTAAAAATTTTGTTTGTGTCTTGAATTTAAAACTGCTCCTTCCTCTTTGCTAGTCAGTAAAGGTCAGGCCTCTGATGCTGCTGGAAAATCATCAGATTTCAAGTGAAAAGAGAGAGAGAGAAAAAAAAAAAGGCATTTGTCACAATTTCCCCCATTGGACAGATCTGGCTCAGCAGCCAGTCGGCAGAAGTTCAAACGTGGTGTTCAGCGGTCTGAGAGTGACGTTCTCACCGAGCGGGGACTACCAAGAGTGTTTGAGGTGGTCGCTCGGCAGGAATTCTGAATCAAGGAGCGAAATGGCCTGTCAGAGTGATGTATGGTGCAGAGAGGACAGCGGGCTGGCATCCTGGGTTTGTGAATGTCCGTCATGCTCCTTCATTTCACGCAGATAGGCAGGAAGCGTATTTGAATTATTTTTGCTTTCATTGAAAAAAAAAAAGGGTTTACTTCCCTATAAATGAACTTCAGCTAAAATCTAACACTATGCAAATGTGAACTTGTGCTAATCTGCTCTGACTCATTAAAAAACCTTGTGTGTGTGTGTGTGTGTGACCTAAAACATATTAATCCAAATGACAAAATCAAATATACAATGTTCAAGATTACTGGCCGTACTTTTGATGATGTATCATACAGTTCCTCTCTCTATAAAAAGATCTTTTCTTGTATTCACTTCTCCAGAGACCAAACACGTAAGAAGGGGAAATGCAGCTCTGAATCAAAATTACCCATAAGGTCAAACTCACATCATCTTTAGCCTGATTGAAAGTAAACTCGCACAGCTCTCCACCTCACAACCTCTCGCCTCATCCTGTACGCCATGGTTTCTGTCTTGGCCTAACCCATCCGACCACCCTCCTCCTCCATCCCGCCCAACCCCACCCCCCAAAAACTCTCCCACACCCCCTTGCCCCCGCCCCTCGCCTTGCCACTGCCTCTCTGCATTGATGCTGATAATTACCACTGAATGGATCCGCAGATTCCCATGGATGTCAGTGAAGCCTTTGGCCTGTTCTGCTGCTCCCCTCCTCCTCATCGTCCTCTCCTGCTTCCTGAGTCTCCCCGTCTCCTTCTCAATGGGGATTAAGAGAGAGGGAGCGCGGCGAGGGATGGAGAGGGTGACAGAGGGTGCTTGCCCAGACTGAGGGATGCTTTGCCATGCAACTGCCTCATCTATGTCACCTTGCCAATCAAGGTTGTCACACCGAATAAACCAGAAACCCTGCTTCAGGTTTTATGATTTTTGGGCAGCACCTAACCCGAATGTCACTATCAATTTGCTGTTGATGCATTGATAAAGTTCTTATATGGAGAAATACAGTCATAATAAACTCAAGGTAAATCCCATGACACATTAGAAAGTGAAAACCTATTGGAAAATAGGTTACCTCTATGAAGAACAATTGTGGAAAATAGAGAGAAAAGGGAACGGAGTGGATTCCCACAATTTCTCCAGTGCAGGCAGAGCTGAGTGGATCGACGTCATGGTCACTGGGAGCCCACGCACCCTCAGCATGCCAGAGGTAACCGATACCCCGTCAGCACTCATCCAAGCTCGAAAACCCACTAAAGCAATGCTTTCTTCCATCGAAGTCCAAGGTGGGGCCAGCCCAGCACACCACAGTTAATCATATCTCACCAAAGGGAAAGCATGGAGCCTGCAGAGAGGGGCACTTTAAAGTGGGTAGGGGACCTGGCATGATGCACAAGATAAAGATAGAAAGCTGTACGGGAAGAGCAGAAGAAGCAAGTTATCTTATTTTGTCCATTAAAACCAGTATGCACCAGTACGAGCACTACCATGTGTCATGCATTACTCTTTCGGTAACGTTTTACATGAGGCGTGGACTTTGTCCAAGACCAAGTGGTAATTGTGTCATTTTTTCTTCGGATGCAGCCCCAATTTGAGGAAATGGTTTGGAGTGTGCTTAAAGGCGTCTGTGCTGCAGGAGTGTTTGGAACCAACAAGGTTTGGCTCCGGGCTGCATGTCAACCTCACTTCAAATTATCCTCATTAACGACGATTCCAAGGGGAAACAGCTATTTGTATGTGTGTGATACTCTGGTGTACAGGGCCTATAATAGTCCTGAATGTGCACCAGCATGAAAAGTGGCATTTATTACTCAGGGTCACAGATTGTACCGAACTGAGCAAGGCAGCCAATGGCAGCTTTTCTGGCTCTGATACTGTGGGAGAACCCAGTATTTGTTACTTGACGTCATGTACTGGTGAATGGAGAAACACCCCAACTACTGCCCTAAAATGTGGGGTTGAAAGATTTATCTCTGAAATCATATCAAGGGTCTAGTTTTAGGAAAGATAAAATAAAACCTACATTTCAAAAATCAAACTGGGTTTAATAAAAAAAACTTACTTAACTAGTAGATGCAGAGAAATCTCAATTGAGGGAAGATTAAACAAGCCACACTGCCTTTAGAAAATGAATCAGGCTTGTGAGCTGTGCATGAGCCCACGTCCCTCTTCATATGCCCCCACATCTTCCATCCCATAAACACAATCACACACGAAACTTGGGTGAGAGAAAGTGAAACACAATGAAACTTGCACCAAAACTTGGCAGCGCTTCAAGTGAGGGGTAGGCAGTCGACACAAAGCTTGACATTAAAAGTTTGTGGCTTGACACCATTTGCTGAAGTACTTTTCCAATTACAGTTAGAGTTACATCAACACTCTTAATAGAGAAAAAGAAAGAAAAAAAAAAAGAGGCCATTGTATCCAAGACAGTGTCCCTCCCCCCTCCCCTCCTTCCATCTCCCACTATCATTTCCCAAGACTGTTTACTGCAAACACAAGAGCAACGCAGCCTGAGCTCATTATGGACAGCCAAGCCACAATATACTGCCAAGTCCTGTCCCACAGCCTAGGCCTAACTCTGTCGTCTTGGCAACCCAGCATCCAAGAACACGGAGCAGTGGGGTGGGGTGGGGGGGTTGGTTGATGTGCTGGATGTGATGTGTTGGGGGGGGGGGTTGCTGCATGATGTCATCCTGTAGCATGGAGTGGGCCCAATCAAACCCTGAGAAAATTATGTCACCTTTTGTTGAGCCGGTCCATTCAGCGCTATAGAAGTGCAGTGAATTGAGAGCTGCAGAGAGGTCATTTTTCCCCTGAGCTGTGTATGTGTGAAAAAAAAAGTGAGGAGGGGGTTAGGAAGGCGGGGGAGGCAAGCAAGCAGGGAAAGTGCATTGTCGACATGCTAATGTTGTTGACCGTAAGCAGGGCTATAAGGATGTCATGAAGCTCCACTTCCAAAAAACCAGCTCCGGGGCATTCACACCCCCTTTCTTTTTCAGATGGCACTGACCTCGCCCCCCCACCACAAATTTGATTCTTAATATGATCCCTATGATGCTTTGAACAACTCGTCAGGACATTGTTAAGCCTGTGCACACTGCAATGGAGACGAGACCGGCCGTCTTTATGCTATCACGGAGAAAAAGACGACAATAAGCAAACCCCTTGAGGAATAATTACCTCCTTAGCAACGCTGCTACCTCGCACTCTCACACCAGAGTCCCATCCCCCTGCAGCTTCTACCCCGCAGAGCTCAGCCAAACTTTATTGAATCCCAGCTGAATTTGACAGTGAAAGACAGTTGAATGGGAAGTCGTTGCTGAATTGTTGAACTCACAATAACAAATTGAAAACGATAATGCATTTGTAGCGTACACTGGAAAGTCTTTCTGTTGAAAACAAGGGGTTGCAGGGAATTCTTTTCATCCACTAAATGGTGAAAACTCCCTGCAGTTTGACCCAGAGACTGCCATTAAACACTTCTCCATCAACATCATACATGCAACATTTACAAAAAGAAAAGTCAGCAGACTTAATTTTCATGATGTCATTTGCTTTGTGGCAAATTTTAAATGTGTTGTTATGCTGCATCACTTTATTTGATCCTTCAATTGATCCATTATTGACTAGGCATGGATCTAGATGCTCAGATTGGGGGGGGCAATTCGAAATTTGGGGTGGGCATTTTTTCACACATGTGGACTGTACTGCATTTAAACACAGAAAGAAATTCAGAAATCAGGAAATTCTGACAGGGCGAAATAAAGCTGATTGGCAGATACAAATGACACAGAATGAAGTTGACCAACCGGGTGGGCAGAGAAGAATTTTGGGTGGGCATTGCCCATCCCTGCCCACTTCTAGATCCGGGCCCGTTATTAAAACTATTAAGTAAAAACCTCTGATTTTCATTCAACATTTCATTTTATCAACATTTAAACCACATTTGTCCATTGCCACTTTAAACATTCATTTCATTCATAGTCTTATTTACTGAGCAGAAAAGGGAAAAAAAAATAAAGAGATACGATAACAGACAGTAATTGAGACGGTAACAGATCAGCAAATACTGGCCAAACTAGTAATGAAACCAACATGACAAACAGTAAGCAGACACGCATTTCCAGGCGCATAACGAACACCATGAAATCATCTTATTAGTTGATAATAATCTTAGATCTGCAGCTGCAATAACAAAATAAACAAAAGATTGGATAAAGTTTTTTATTTCTGCAAATAACACAACACAAGAACACAATTAAAGGTTTGGTGCAATAAATCATCATGGAAATAAGCAGCCCAACAGGAATATTAACCACACACAGAGCCATTGTGTGACTGAGTGATCCTTCCGAGGAATCTCAATTACATGTGTATTAATTAGTTTTTACACCACAGGAGAAATTTATTGAGTTCTTCACTCCACAAACTTCACGTGTGCCTGCACTGGTAAAAGCATTGCCATCGGTTTGCAAAAAAAATTTCTTAAAAAATGAAAATAACATCTGATTATATTCCATTTACAGTTCCAGCGCCTGTTGATACTTGTCCCAGAATAACACAGTAAATGTCACAACTACGGTACAGCGTATGAACAACAGCATGAATAAGCGCTGGATATCAAAAGCAGATGCATATACAGGAAAATATTAATCCAGGTTCAATTTAGAAAAAGTCAAATAATATGTAGATGCATTGTGGTAACTACGGCAAATGCACATTCATTGATTTGGCTTTCCTACTTGAGCATCTCTCCAGACAGGGTTGACTGATCTGTTCCATAATGTCTGAGCGGCGGAATACACGCCGCTGTCCTGCTGAGTGTATGTCAGAGCTCCTCCAAGTCCAAGCGGCTGGCGCGGATCCTGAGCAGCAAGATTGTCAGTGACGAAGCTCATGCTGTCAGCAGTCATGCCAAGAGCAAGCATCTGCTGCAGGGGATGCTGGTCCGCAGTCCAAGCTGGGATTTAGTATGATCCTAGAAACATAATACAGAAACTAATGACTGTCGGAGGCCAACAACCACTTGAAGCTTTAACATTGACACATGTTTCTCATACCCACTCGCAAGAAATTAGAGGCTTTGCTGGTATTTTTTTTTTTTTTTTCAGAAAAGTGTCACCTCAAGTAACCAGAGATTCATAAAACATGTAAAACTGATTGACACAAGCTTCTCCTCAGCTGATTCCTTTGGTAGAACTGATTTGGCTGCTATCACAAACTTTCCGCTTTCAAACTGGCATGAAGAAGCTGCAGATGAACGACCCAGAGCCTCATCCACAGCTCAAATCATCACATTAAATGTGGTGGCAAATTCCCACGTGTTTTGCCTCCAGCAGTGAGGGTTTTTCAATCCAACAGAAGAATAAAGATGTCACTCTGGTACTGTTCCGGCCCACAGAACAGTTAAAACAAACAAACACCCTGATTGCAAAGATACATCTGATTCCAGTGTTTAAAGACATGACATATAATGTCTGTCTAGAGCATGGGTGTGTGAACAGATCAGTTGGAAGCTGGGAAAACTGATTTATATCCAGAGCAACAGCTGGATGCACATAGTGTATCAGTGCGTAACATCAGCTTCTTCACAACAATGTGAGAACAGCCCGAGGTGAGGTAATGCATGCAGGTGGCCTCTTGTCAACCTCTGCTCTGCTTTACCTGTGCTTGCGTGTAGAGCCTTCCACACAATGACATAATGTTGTCTGCCCCCACACACCATCCACTCAGCCATGGTTGTCATGGCAGCGAAGTGGCAGGACCGGCCCGTCCTGCCCGTCCTTTGCCCGGGGAAGGAACAACATGTCAAAGGATAAGTAGTCATCCATCAGTGTTTCTCATCTTCTTTCTGCCTGTCTGCACCTCTGAGCTGGTTTCCCTGCTAGAAGTCACGTTCCACCAGTGTACAGGATATGGCCTCATTCTCTTTCTTCATCGCCCTCCTCCTGCACTTGTCCCTCCTTCCCTCGGGCCTCACACATCACCGTCTATTTCCGGCTTTCTTCCCCTGGCCTAAGCTACAACCAAACACTTTCATTTATTTGATTAATGTTGTCTAAACTTATTTTTAGTTTCATTCTTCTTCAGCTTCACCTCTCAACAACCTTCATTTTACCTGATCTCTCCATTCTGGTTTTACCCTTCCCACGTTTCTCACCTATGCCTCACTGTGAAGCAGAGCCAATGGAAAAGGATCAACATAGAGAACCACGTCCCAACCTGCCTCTGAGCGTCAGCCTGCCCGTGTACGCCTGTCTGCGCCTGGGGCTGCCACCGTGGCCGTCCCCTATCTCCCTCCCTCATCAGAACATCTACTGTACCTGTCTGCTGGCTCCCTGCCATCCACACACACAGCCCTGCTTCATTTACTGAGGGAACCAGGTAGTGGAAATAAAAGAAGATAATGCAAGCATGTCTACAAAAAAAAAGACTACTCATGTTGAGGTCAAGCATGTTTGACCTCCACTGAGAACACCCACAGCTACCCCGAAAGGTGCACGTATACAGTACCACTCATTCAGCTTGCTGGCTGCTGTGCAAAATCCCGTCAACGGGTTTCTTTGAAGGCCACCGACTCTGTGGTGGGCCATCAAAGCATATCTTCATTCAGTTCCACTGAAAGGATCTGAGGCTCCTGAGAAAAGCAGTGTTTGAAGTGATATCTCTGTGCAACTGCATTCTTTTCCGTGCTGTCATGACTGGAGTTACACAATAAAAACAAGAACATGGGCATGAAGCCAGTGCCACCACCCTGATCATGTCTTTTAAACATGTGAACTACCACTGCTATCTCCGTTTGATCAGTCGACGTACCAAACTCTGGCTGCAACTGTCAGTGTCCATTAATAAAAAAGCATCATATATTCCTGAATATCAAACAAAAAGCAGAGTCATCCCTACCTGTTGAATCACTGGAGATCATGTTTCCATTACTCAGCCTCTTCTTGATGCTCATCTGAGATCATCTGTAACAGATAAAAGACCAGGAAATGAAATGATTCAGAGAGGGGCTCATTCAAGTGTAAACATAAACGTCAACCAAAAAATCAGATTTAATTTAGTCCAGCTCTGCCTAAGCTTGCATTAACACTCCAACAAATATTTATTTCTCTACAGCACAACGAGAGAAAATACCTCCGTTCTCTGTTTTCATAGGGAAGTTTACAGTTAAAAGTTTAAAACCTCCATTACTTAACAAATAACAGGAGTAAATTCTATTTTGGTGCACGAAATTGTATTTATTTATTTTTACATTCCTGTATTTTTGGTTCTTGTAAACTACTAGATGGTCACATCTTTAAACAATATTCAAATAAAACAAGGGAACAAAAACTGGCTGTGGTTGTATGCCTCCACCAACCAGGCCAGTTTCAGTCAACACTTTTTTCCAGACTCATATGAGGTCACTGTGAGCTTTACCTTAGACAACTGAACCTTAATCGGTTCATCTTTGAGTCCAAGTAAAAACGGGTCAAAATTCAAAGAAACGCACAAAAAGCAGATTTGAGATAAGAGGCAGATATAAGATATCATGTTCATGAGGCCAAAAACACGTTTTGTGAGACCACCGTGACCTTGACTGTGCCCACCTAACTGTAATAAATTAATCTGCGAGTCCAGGTGAACATTTCTGCCAAATTTGCAAGGATTCTCTCAAGGCGTTCTTAAGATAATATTTTCACAAGGCAAAAGAGTTTTGTGAGGTTGCAGTGACTTTGACCTTGAAACTTTAATGTTTGTGTTTTCAACCACCAAGATCCTCATTTTCACATATGTCCCAAATTTGAAGAAATTTCCTCAAGGCTTTCTAGAGATTTTGTGTTCAGAATGGGAAGGACAGACAACCCAGACACATAAGGTCTATGGTCTGTCTGCCTGTCGTCTGTACAGAGGCATAAACATATCCAACCCTTAAGAATAGGTCATATGTTAAACACACATTTATCGAATCATCAATTATAATTCAGTGGTTCAACATTACAATCTAGAAAAATCTCCTTTCTCTCAGGCTTAAAGGTTCAGTGTGTAGAATTTAGTGACATCTAGTGGTGAAGTTGCATGTTGCAGCTAAATAGCCGTCACCTCACCCTCCCCTTCCAAACATGAAAGAGAACCTGTTAGTATTCAGATATAAAGGGCACAGGGTAAGGGTAAAAACACAATAATTTGTACCATTTAGATGAAACACAAGTATTAATATTCAATTTCTACCGATAGATCCTTTCACCTAAATCTTACACACTGAACCTTTAAGTGACGATCAGCTGCCCTACGGTCTTGATGCATTCTTTTTCAGGCACCAGTTTCATAAGGACCACATGACTCAGACCTTCTCCAGTATCTTCACAGACCATTTAAAGAGTCAAACCAGGAGTAGCAACATAGATCAGCGGGACTCTGTTTTATGTCAATCTAAGGTTTCAGTTGAGTTCTGTAGCACCTGGCAGTTCAGAAAAACGGAAGCATTCAAACTGGCTTTTTCATTGTACCATTTTAAATGTACTTGGTGTGTTGGTTTTATTTCTTAAGGTCAACAAGTTCAGTTAGATATTGCACCAAGAAACTTGCAGGTTACTTCATTCAAGCATGTGAATGAAGCTGTGCCGTCTTCATCCAATCACAGACAAAGGTGCCCTCAGCTCCTGAGTTTCACTGTCCCAGACCTGTTACCATGGAAACAAATGCACTGTTTCCGAGTGACACAAAGCCTGAACTTAAGAACCTCCTTTCAGGTTGAAGGCTCCAAGAGTTGAGGGGAAAACAGCAATAACAGGACGGCGGGGAGAGAAACTGAATACTGGCAAATAGCTTCCCAGAGTTTCTGGAGGACATGGTAAAATAATTCTTCCTTTTAAAATACCTTTCCCTGGCACCAGGCACCATAGGTAGTTTTGTGCTGGTCCCATTTCTTTTATATCCCCTCTCATATTTCCGTTTCTTTTAGCTATCGTACTGAGCTAAGTGAGTTATCATGTACACCAGCAGGCTGTAGCTGCATGTGGCTAGGCTAAGCCTCCAGATGAGGTAATGTTTACAGGATTGGCGAGCCAGGAGAAAGGTTGGTCAGGTCTTGATTAGCTCAGGGGTAGGGGCTCTCTCTAATATTGGACACCCCTTTGTGTGGTGAGATTACTACCTTATGAAAAACTGCCCCTGCTGACACGCCTGATGGGATCAGAGCTTCCTGCCTGCTGCATCGTCCTGCTTATGAGCTCTCCACACATGGGAGAGAAAACACACAGCCAAACACCAGAAACACACATCTGTACCTCTCACAGACATGTGCAGTGAGAGATCATGTGCACAACTCACAAGTACTGTGCATGCCTACTTGTAAACAAGCATGTACACACACATACACAGACACACACACACCCAACAAGCACACACATGGCTGCAAACTGTAAGTCAGGACCATAACTGATGACCCCCAGATGGAAAACAACCTGCATTTATTAGCAAGGCCAGATGCGACACAAACACACGCTCATGCACGCTCACTTGCTTTTACTGAGGTTGTCTCCTCCGGCCACTCCTCAATGAAAATCACATGATGGACCACATCCAGCTCTGAAAAAACAACTGAGAATCTCCACCCTGAAAAAACATCAACAAACAATGTTAAAAATCACAGAGGACTCGGAGGCAAAGCTTCCAGGGGATTTGATCCTTGTAGTCCTCTAAAGAAGGCTGAGGCTATAGGATGATTTCAATTATTCGATATAATTTCTGATGGTCCATTAGTTCAAAATAAAGCTCTGATTATATGTGATGTGTAAACAGAAGGTTGCAAACAAAACCTGCATCTGATGCAGGGCTGTACTTTTTTCCAGATGCGTAATCGACTCTTAATTAGCAGTGGCCTCACTTTCATGTAACCTTTCCCAAATAAATCTCATTTAAAACCAAGAACAACTGAATCATGGCAGCATTTTGGTTCCTTCAACCATACAGCAAACATCAACACCTTCCTATTTCTACTGTTTAAGGGCCTGCACTAGAAAATGATCCTCTCTCTCTCTCGGCACTGGCACAACCTTGCGCCAGTGGTCCTTTAAACCAGTCATGTGAAATGACCCGTTCCTTTCTGCAAATCAGATTACATCTCCAACCTGAGGTCTGCAAGTACACACACACATTTAAAGCTCAGGGCTCAGGTCCACGCAACTCAACACACACATTAACACACACACATCAAGACACGGCTTAATCAGATATTGCCCCACAAACCTTATCGTCTTTGTAAATGTACACAAGACCCAGAGAAAAACTGCATCTATATGGCCGATATCATGAACAGTAAATGTAAAAAAATGAGAGCCGCTCAGGCCACAGATTCCCTCAAATAAGATCAAAACAAAGCAAGGTCTTTGTTAAAGAAAATCATAGGGGGCTGTGATAAGCATCCTTTCAGCAGTGCACGACTGCTGTTTGGCAGCTCTGCTATGGAATGAGCACATGTGCTAACACGTTTATAATGCGTTTGGCAGAAATGCAAATGATAGTTGATTCGCAAATGATTCGAGTCCTTTTCATGTTACCAAGCTGCACAAAAGCAGGGATCTCTAGTAAACTAGTTGCTTCAATTATAACATTTTCCAGGGGTTCTGTTACTTAACTTAACAAGTAAGGAAATAAGTGCATGAATATTTGAATAAAACAGTATGAAGTACTGTTTGCTTCTATGGTGCTTTTGACGTCTTTTAGATTTAGTGATCAGATGTGCAGCCATCCAGTTTATTTTTTTCAGTTTTTATCTCCAACTCTTTCATTCTAACTCATAGTGCGAAAGCAGCTTGCTGGCTGGCTGATGGTGGACTGGTCCGCTTAATCATACCCAGACAGTTGGAGGAAGTACAAGTCTCTGTCCCTACAGGATCTACATTAAGTCTCCACTCTGCTAATCAGAAAGCCCTTTAAATACATCAGCATGTCCCTCTGGCCCAACCAACAAGCAAATCGCATTTGTCTTTGCAACTTTTTTAAGGAAATGTCAATTACTTCTCCATCGAGTCTGGAAAAACGACCACTGCTGTCTCAGTGTTCATTGTAATAAATAAATAAACAAAGTAGCTCATTATCTATGGTCCTTTTTTGCCCTTGATCCCCTGGAAGTCAGAGGGTGGGAAGTCGTGGGTGGCAGGAAGCTGAGATAGTTGTGGCTACAATGGGGTGTCAGGACTCTGTCAGTCATCCCAACTCAAGTTCAACTCGAGCGGGTCATTTTCTCTTCACCATGATATCTGAGAGGACCAGCGATGGACACCAGCAGTGAGGGGTACGGAGGAGTGGAGGGACTGTGCCCTGGGTTAGATTGCACTGGATGCTCAGATAAGATGACAGCAAAGGGCAGATTTAGGCAGGTCAACAGTGGAAGCTGGCTGAGGCTACTGTTACCTGCAGGAAGAGCTCACTCATCCTTCAGATCACCTCCCACACCTGTGGAGGCCAGCATCTGAAACGCGGTGCCACCAGCCAGGAGCTGGGAAGTGGTCGCCAAAGCCTCCCAATGGTTACTCTTACAGCAACTGGACAATAAATCATTGTGCTGGTAGTTTTACAAGCTCTGGCCCTCACTAACATAACTGGCAATAATTTCCTAAAGCACATCAAGGTCTTAGATTTGGAACTTTCCGGGTAGCCACTGGTTTTCAGTTAATTTAAGTACACAACCAAAATTTGGAAAGATATTTTGGCATTTTGTTGTTTTGTTGAAGTTATATTGATGTGTGGTAATTTCTTTTTTCTGCCTTCAGGGACCTCCAAATATCTGAAATTTAGTGGACAACAAGTTCTTAATCCAACAAATTTTCAATATGGTTTTTTGGATGTCCTTGATTTGATGCTGTGTGCCAAATTTTGTGACAGCTTAGTAAGTAAATGCAATTTTTGCAGCTTCTATGTGGACAGGCAAGCAACTCTCCAATCGCTGCAGGTTGAGTTTTATATAACAGTAACAGTGAAT